AAAGGCAAAGCCAGAAGTACAAGGCGCATGGGACTTTGGCATACGTCTCTTTCAGATGAAGCATCTGTTTGAGATGCTTGTTTCACTGGTGATTTGGACTTATGTTGCAACCTCTGCGGATCAAGAGACAGTCGTCCTGAACTGCTTGGCGGTGGATTACATCAGCCGCATAGAGGACGAGATAGTTGGAGCTTACTCAAGTGAAACCGCACAAAGGCTAGCAGATGAATTGCCAGCCCATGAAGGAAAGGAGGTTTGGGAGTCTGTTCGGTGTGGCCAGGAACTGCACGATGGCTTTTTAATCTTCGCGCTTTTAGGTTTCACCTTCGTCGCTGTGATCTGCGGAGCGCAGCTCCGGCAGAAGCAAGACGATTGGTGAGACCTGTATGCGACACCCCGTCGCCCCAGTTCTTCTGGTTCCGACAGATGTGCTGGAATGAAATGTTTGGTTATCCGCGATTCGCCAGCCAAGCAACCTTCCAAAGAGAAGGACAGCGTCAGCCGCGACGATTGCTAGAAGATATGTCAAGCTACTCCCGTCACAAAAGAAGCGAGCAACGTTGGCATGTCGGCCGTGCCTGAATTCCTTAATTTTGTGCGCTAGCTAGAAGACCACCATCTACACACATGCGGTGGGAGCATTGAAACGGAACTTCTTCTTATGCCGTGTATTGGGTGTTGCGCCTTGCCATGCAGCAGTTTGTACAGCTACCTAGACGCTAGATTCACTTCTGTGCATCAGCAGTGTAAATTGTTTGTAGGGTTGATGTTGCTTCGAGGCTTCCGTGCCCTGTATTACACCCTCTATGCATGTAAACTTACTGGTGGTTCATAGGGAACAAGGGAATATAGTCCCTGTATAATGGATTTCCTTATTCCCTACTAGCCCCTAGCAGCCGTAGTATCCCAATATAATCCTCAATATACTATAGAATAGTAGTTTCCAGCTTCCTTTCCATAGTTCTATATATATACACATATAACTAATGTCAGTGCAAGTAAGCGTGTCCCTGTACAAAGAATGCCGTTCAGCTTAGGAGAGCTTCGGCACGGCGCATGAACTCCCAAATAGGGGGGGGGGGGAGCTTTCCAAAATTAGGGTACCTTTTAAGGGGTTATAATATCCCGTTTTAGTAATGGAGAATCAAATGGAAAAGAAAGTGGCACATGAAATGGAAACTGGTGTTATGTAGTGAATTATAGGGGGTTGGGCGTTTCCCAAAATTACGAGTACCATCTTGGGGTCTCAATTAATAAGGCTTACAGTATGCAGCAATGTCTGCGGGAATGACGCCTATCGATTGAATGAAATCTTGAGAAGCAACTGTTTAACCTCTGTCGCCAAAATTAAAAGACAAGTTTTGCCAGTCACTAGTCAGGATTATGATACGGCTTTCGGAACCTAAAGTCTGCTGCTCTTGTACTTTTTTTGAACCCAAAGATGTCTGGGTTCACATATTCTAGTAAGAAGAGCTCTAAAGCCTGTTGTTGAAGGTTATACACGGTGATAGGAGGAATACTTGAACGGTTTGAGAGCCTGCTTCGCGAAACCATGTGCTTCCTGAAGCCTTGGCAAAAAAAGACGGCACCTGTTCTGTGCAAATTTGACACGGAGCTGACAATAACATGGCACCACGCAGCACGGAAAGGAGACCTGCAAAGATCTCCGGCACACCATGCAGGTTCTCACAGGACGAAGCGTATCGCGGGGGCATCTCAACCAAACGGACAAGCGGAACCCCTATGCAATTGACAAGCTGTTCAGAGGCTATAGGAGGTTTGAAATGTCATGGACCTATGTCAGCTTCCAGTGGGACGGGCGATGCGAATCTTGGAAACGGGCAAAGGCTCCAGGTGCGCATGCTCAGCGGTGACTGCGTCATGGCTATGGCCAGGGAAGAGTCCTTGCAACTGAGTGCTGCAGAGCCTTGCATCCATACGGGCCCGGTTTCTTAAAGTCATGAGTCGAGAAACTCCCGCAGCTACAGCCTGGTTCCCTCAAGCGTTGGACAAGGTCTATATGCTCTAATTTCTTGGGTGGTCTTCATCATGGAGATGTGCAATGGTTTGTAGCATGGTTCTTGCTGTCAGTTGTCAGGTCATTATTGTCGGCTGAAGCCTCCTCTGCAAACTCAAACAGGCAACGCATCTGTTTTTAGATGAGATCCCGGAAGGAGCCATCTATAGCACCAACCAACAAAGCCTAAACGTCTAAACCCTGGACCTCCAAACCCGTCCCTATCCCATCAAGCCCTACACTTTGACACATCCCGAGTACTGCATAAGCCCTTAGGCTCTAGGATGGAGAATCAAAGGAACCGAAAATGGGAAATAACGTGGAAACTGGGATTCTGTAAGGGCTTCACAGGCATAACTCGGCATAATTACTTCTCTCTCTAGTGATCCTACATCCACTGTGTAATCCCCACATGAACCTGAACCCTAGACGGTAATTTCCAGTATTCTTCATACCGCTATATGGTAGTTCCCAAAACAGGGGGACCCCCAATTTGGACAAACAAAAATATTGTGATCGTCATTTATGGAGACCCTCAAAAAGATACCCTAACTTTGGCAAACCCTCATATAACCCCATTGGAGGGTAGCCAATGAATCTCAGAGCATGAGAAGCCAAGGAGTTGGCGAGTCAGCTCAGTGAGCCCCTCCAGGTCTGTGGCGACTGATTAGACACAGGTTTTGGGGATATGGGTTTAGGGTTTTGAGTTTTGGGGATATGGGTTTAGGGTTTTGAGTTTTGGGGATATGGGTTTTGGGTTTTGAGTTTTGGGGATATGGCTTTTGGGGATATGGGTTTTGGGTTTTGGGGATATGGGTTTAGGGATTTGGGTTTTGGGGACATGGGTTTAGGGCTTTGAGTTTTGGGGATATGGATTTTGGGTTTTGGGGATATGGGTTTCGGGTTTTGAGTTTTGGGGATATGGGTTTAGGGCTTTGAGTTTTGGGGATATGGGTTAGGGTTTGGGGGGTATTATGGGTTTATGGGATAGTGTATATTGGCGAACAAAACTAGAAATTGGATTCTTAGCATTCTTTATAAATATGAAGACGAAGATGAATATTATGTAGCGTTGAGGAAATCTTGCACCAATGAGGGTCCCGGTGTAGGATTTCTTTCAACTCCATCAACAGTAGAGTATGACACGCAGGGGTTGGGCGGTGCTGAGCTTAGTTTCGCCGTTTGCTTACGAGAACACCCATGAACAGCCTTTGCCCCGAAGTTCAACGTTCCATTTTCTAACGGGATTTCTGAAAAGAGCCATTGTATAATCCCAAACTCCCGTAGAATCCCTGGGGTCCACAGGGGTCCCTTGTTTGGGAGACCCCTATCAAAGAATTCAGGTTTCTGCATATCGCCTGGTCTTCCAAGCCATGGGTTGCAAGCTTGGGGCAGAGGCGGAGCACTACCGATAGGGTTGGGGCTTCAGGGTTTCAAATGACAGGTCCCTACAATGCCTGTTTCAGGTTAAACATTGTTGAAAGATCCCTTCTTGGGCTGTAAGGTTTATCTCTCAGGTTGCGTTTTGTCTAGGCTTTAGGTTCTAAGGCAGGGATTGGGGACGTCTGACAAAGTTCACACGTCTTGGGTGCCTTTGTTGTGTAGGTCTTGTCTTTCGGAGAGATGGAAAAGCGGACACTTCTCTTGAGAAGTGCATGCTTCCCTGCTCTCGAAGCCAACAGAATATAGGGTATTTAGGATTGTTTCTTTGCTTCAGCTTGAAACTGCAGATTGATTCAGGATGAGTATAGTCACAGAAATCATACGAGTCGCGCTGGTGAAAGCAAATTTGCCAACACGTACCTGCAATCTGAACTAACAAGAAGTCGAGCTTCAAATCATACAAGGCAAGCACATTAAGTAATGCTTAAACGTCGACGAAGACCTAGGTCACAAAGGGTGCATTTGCGGAGAGGAAAGCCTAGAAACCCCAAATGTGCGACGCTGCCTACACCAAACCATTCAAATGCTGAAGGATCCCGGGGGTTCCATGCAACACCCCACATCAAGTTGTCAAGCAGTGTTGCTGGATATGTACGGGAACCTGCAATGGGAGGAAAAGATTGCATGAGCCAAGTGCGAAGGTAGCTGGACTGAGTCCAATGGCTCTTCTGATTCTATTTCGTTATAGTAAGTCACAGACCAGGATAGTGAGTTGAGTTGTTGTGCGAAGCTGCGTTAGTTACAAGTACAAATTCCATCCAAAGGGTTCTGACTCTTATTTGTGGCCTTTGCTTCCGGCGCCCTACAAACTCCACGAATTTCTAGCCTGGCTTCGCACAAACCTGGAGCGTCCCTTTTTGGATTGAGGTCCTAAAAGACCTCTGGCCGGACGAGGGAGATCTTGAACTGCAGGCTTCGCGCAGATGGGAAGGGACTCCATATTATGCAGGGCTTGTATCAGGCATGTTGATGGCCGCTCGTATACCAAAAAACCAGATCCTTGTTTGAAGGGTATACAGGAATGTTGCCAATAGGGCGTCTTCACAATTCCTTGTGGGACCGAAAGCGGCATGTCAGGCCTTCTAAAAGAGGTTGGACACAACAAGGTTGCATCCGCGGTAGCTGGTCCTTCTTCGTGGTGTCTTGAACTTATGCCATGTTGGAGTGTTTTTGCATTTTGCGCGTCAAAACAGCCTTCTCAATCGATGTATCGCGTGTAATGGAAAGCTCCTTCTCTGACTGCTGGACGCCTGCAGTAGAACGAGTCATAGGTCGATTCCAGAGATTCCTCTTTGTACTATTATTCCCATTCTTAGACATAATATTATGCCTGGGCGCACGTGGAAGGTTCTGATACAGCCCATCAATACCCGCTGCTGCCCGCTGATCCATCCAGGGCAGATCCTGCAGGCAGCAGTCAGTAGAGTGCATATCAGGTTTCAGTTTAAGCCATGTGAGCTTTCGCAGCCTGTCGCGTTGTGTATGGCCGAAGACCAATTCTGATGGGGTCCAGTTGGGCGAGGTACGCCGCGATGGTGCCATGAGGGTTGCTGTGACCTTTGAGATGGGGTGCGTCCTGGAGCGGGACGCCGACAAGAACGTTGTGCATAAAGTGGTGGTGAAGGACTCCCACTAAATTTTACTTGCAAGTGGTTTGAGCATTCCTAGCATGGTGCATCATGCCAGGACCCAGCTGACTTCTTCCCAGCGCCGCAGGCTGTCTTCCTCTACGATGAGCAGGCACTGCCTACCAACGGGAAGAAGACCTTGCGGAACCTAGACAGAGAGTCAGTTCTGGTAGAAGGAAGCTACTTGGGATGGGATATCTTGGGATGGCACGGGCTGTCTATTGTCAAAAACCAGGGTGACAAAATCCATCACGGAGACTGCAGAATCTGCATTCAGCAGAACTGAAGCATTGGCCCATGTCCATATTTGAAACAAAGCCAGCGAAAATCCACAACATTTTCTGCGCCACGAAGAGCCAACATGCTCATTGTTGCTGGCTTCCTTCTGGCTGGAAAGTTTGAAGCATCCTGGCGAAAGGCAGAAGGCGTCGGAAAAAAGGAATACCAATAACCACTAGTCAGCCAAGAAGATCCTTGACCCTTAGAAAAAGATGGCCTTTGCTTAAAAGTCTGAACCCCTACTTGGAGGTTACTCGGGGTACTTTTCATAGCTGGGGTATCCTTTTACAAGGCTAGCTACTGGGATGATCTGCAGAGTCCCGTGAACCTCCAAGTAATTAGGGTTAGCAGATGACAGAAGTATACATGTTTTTGCACACGTGGGCCCATCATGACTGTAGAGAGATGAGTGTATACACACGGGCAACACTGAGCTCAGCTTGCCGGCAGAATGAAACCCGGCACCTTTGTCGTGGAAAAAGGCTTGGTGCTGTCTCTCATGTCGTCAGCAAAGTAGCCAGTAAGCAGTCGGTTGCATCTGAAAGATGCCATAGTGTCTAGCTTACATATCCCCCTGTTATTGAACAACTTCCACATGCAGTTGCTGCAATCTGGTTTGTTGCTACGGAACGTAAGGTAAGATACAATAATAAGAACCTGTGATCATTTATCACATACCCAGATTATGGTAACTCAAATTAAGTTCCTTAACAGCAACCCAGCAATTTGAGGATCAGTCTCTTGGGCCCTCCCTTTGGCGACCTGGGCCGGAGAACGCAGGGGCGGCAGTGGCCCTATGGCCTGCAGGACGCCTGATGAAAAGCTGTACAAGTACTTGGAGGGTCATGGGGACTTAGTAAGTAGGTTAATAACCCCTATAACCCATATAGTAACCCTAGTTATTCCAACTATTAACCTACTTACTAAGTCCCCCTGACCCTCCCGGTAGGCTTCTCAGGGCTTTGTGTAGGGTTGTCAAGTCGTTGCTAGTTGGGACTAAGGCTGCATGTTTCAGCTTGGTTGGGCAGTCTGGTTTGGCATCAACAGAGTCGTAGACATGTGTCGCGATCTTGTGATCCTTGCAGTGCTAACCCTGGAAGCCGTAAACTCGACACAACAAACCTTACAAGGTACTGTTTCATTGAAGTCCCACACCCTGAATCTGAAGCCCTAGACCGGACGACGGAAACACCAAACCGACGTCCTAAATTCCCTAGCGCTGCCTCACCTCTAGCCAATCTAAGCGTGAGCCTGCAAAGGGCCACACTTTCCCAGAGCAATAGAGAACAAACAGCAACTTTTCGGGGACGATGTGGGTTTGTTCATCTCACAGCCGGGCCCCCTGGGCCCCTGAGTAGGTTTGCTCATAAGGAAGCACCAAGAGGCGAGCAACGTTTTTGAGAAAATCCAATGTTAACTCATGGAACTTTATCGCCCAAGGAGCTGCTACTGCATTTTTCCACGGTCCACCTGGAAGCTCGGGCCTGCCTGTGTTCTAAGCGTTTTTGAAGTTGGATGCAGTGCACGTGACCCTGTTATGCACCAGTATGGAAAATAACGTGTTACTGCTGTTGGGGCTCCGTGCAGATTACGGAGGTGTCAAAGCTTAAGCTGTACGGTTTTTTGTTCGCTATGTTGGAGTTGTTCGGACCCGAGCTTCACGAGCCTTTTTTTGCCTACATGAGTCTTGAAGGCAACGATTCATCAGTGCCAGTCGCGAGAGCAGTCTTGACGCTGATGGTTTGCAGGTCCACATCAGCGATTGTAAGAGGTTCCTGCACAAACGCTCTTTCTTGGGTTCTCCTGTTGTGTGGCATTCAGATTTGATCCACAACCGATCCGCACAATCATCATGTCTTCCGCCCTCATAGATGACGGCTGCAATATTACATATCCCTAGTCACGCAAGAAGAAGGCTGTATGAGCGTTCCACTCCAAATTTCCAGTGCAGATGGACAGAGGTTTTTTTGCCGCTGAGGAGACAGGGCCTGGGGCCGGCAAGGCAGTGAGAACCCACGTCCGGCCACTTTGTGCTGCACGCCCGGAGGCGGTCGCACGCCTGCTTTGGATTCTGGGAGGCTCTTGGCTCCTTCAAATGTCCAACGTGGTTGCAGTACTTTGGCTAAGCACGGCCGCTTTGATCTCTGGAGGCTCTCTATATGGCGCTTTGGTGCTATTGACCCTGGCTTTCCCTGCGCTTTTATGGCAGATGCTCTGCCGACCTGGCAGGTTAGTCTGGCTTGATCATCAAAGCAACAAGATCGGCAACTTCTTGCTTTTCATCCTAACCCCCTTGGGCATGCTGGGTTTCGTAAGCCTGGCCTCCTGCCTTCACGTCTGGAGGTTGTTCAAGTTCCTCCTAAAGCTTCGCTTCCATGTTCCTACCGGCCTGGCTCTTCCTGTCGACATGAAGCAATGGTACATATACGAGGCTATGATCCCCAACTTGGAACAAGCGGCAAACTTTGTGATTCTGTTCTTCAGATATAATGAGCGCCTAAGTAGCATCGAAAGATCTCCAGATTAATCCCGGTAACATCTTGAAAGTCAAAAAAGACAACTTCAGCCTCAAAGAGGCCTTTCGGGAAGATGCTCGAATTTTCGGGGATTTGCCCCGCATCTTCCTCTGCGCCTTCGCCCTGACCAACCGCCTCCTCCTGCAGCCTAAGCTCTGGCCCGACACCGACATGCTTGGAGAGGCAGAGAAAAAGAAGAAGTATAAATAGTAGCAGCAGCAGTAGAAGAGTAAAGTCATGACAACAGTGGTATAGTGGGAGTAGCACTAGAAGGCGGAGGAAAGAACAGCTGCAGCAAAAGTCCTCGCAACCACAGAAAATGATGCAAGAACAGGAATCACACATTGCGTATTCGTAGTTGAGGCCACCGTCGCCAGCGCTGAGTGCGTTGCCTTGATTTGCGCTGCGGCATCTTATCTCTTGGGCCTGATTCCAGCCAGACGGCAGGTGGGCGTATCTCAAGATTGTGCTTTTTCTGTGTGTCCGTAAGTAGTCTATAGGATTACAAGAGAATTGCACGGGGTCATCAAGGGATCATGGGGTTTTGTAGCGCAGGATGTTGCGTCGTTGTGATATGAAGCACCTATAGTTCTGTAAAGATTAGGTACTGCGACCTCGAAAGGATGGCGAAGCAAGGTGTACAGACATAGGGACTATGCAAATCAATTCCGAACCTGCAGCATAGCCAGGTGAGCCGTGAAGCCAAGGGGGTCGTCATACAGCACGTGCTGAATGGAGTGCTTCGCTAGGCAGCTTGGCACGCCGAGTGGTAGGTTCAAGGCTACATACACTGCCTTACTCTGTCAGCAGTAGTTCAGGCGCCTTGAACTTCAAGGATTTGTACACCGTCCACCCTCCCACACCATCTTTGCTGCACTTCAATAATAATCGAATAGTAATAGTACTTGTAGTTGTAAGTAAGTGTAATTGCAATCGTAAACTCCTTGAGCTGTTTCTGGCGCCATTGAGCTTGCTGCTGCTTGTGTGGGAAACACGTCTATGTCCCCTGCACGGAAATTGGGTCTAGGCCAAAGAAGGGTGGATGTGCCTGACAGAACTACCGGGCCTACTGTTGTGGAGGAAATCCTACACAACCCAAAGTATTCCAACTCCTCGGAATTTCAGGTGTTTGGGAATCTCAGCTGGTGCAGGATATTCTCCAAGAACAGTATCCCCATGGCTGAGTCATGACCAGCAAAGCAGTGCCCAAGGCACGAACTGGTCAAGTCCCCGCCCAAAGTAGCATGTCCTTTTCCGGGCTTGCATGTGCAGCACGCTCAGAGAGCACTTATACCGTACCTTGCATTTCTGTTGCAAAGTATGTAGTGCGTACGTTGTTCAAATAGCACTTCTCTGTATATCCGCATACATGCATGCTGCCATGAGTATGAAGGATGGCCCTCGTGTTTTGAATCGCATGCTCTGCAACCCCGCTGGACTTTGGCGGCGATGATCTCAGCTCCACTTCGCTAGTTCAGACCAAGGACCTTCACAGCACAGTGGCAACTGCCTTTGGACTTTTGTGGTTGAAAAGATGCTGTAGCGCGCAGGTAGGTTCGAAGGTAGTTCACTGGAATGCGCTTCATCCAGGTACTTACTTCTTTGAAGTGGCTTTCAGGCGGTTGAATATGAATGGAGGGTTTTGAGTGGGGCGGTGCATAGTCATTTCTTGGGCCTTGTTGTTGTATGTCATTGTGGGAGTTTGCACCGGCGGTGAAATCTCCAAACCATGGTCCCGTGCTGCAACGTGCTTAGTAAGCTTAGCATGGCAATGATAAGTCCCATACAAATGCTTTCTCATGTGGATGTCGAGTCGCATGTGCTGAATGAAGACCACTTGCCGCAGGGCTTCATCCACCAGGGAAGGAAGCAAAGATTTTCCGTCCCAACTTATTCACTTGGGCGAGCCAGTAGGCCACAAACTCTAGTGACTCTAGTGTATGAAGCTCAGCCCTACACTGATCTACACTGCAGTCCCCGGCGTATGGATATATCCGGTATGCAGGTAACATGTACGTACTGCTTCGTCTCGAGGTCCCTCCAAGCTAGTCACCTTTCATTCTTCTTTTAATGACGGACACATTTTTCGCCATAACTCATCATAGGACTCAAGCGCATGCTACCCCAAAGTAAAGCATACCAGTTCAGCCCTCAACCCTCCCTCACACCTTGTTAATACTGGCCCTAGGTTCCTTGTATAAGATTGTGGATATATATATATACATATGTCCCAACAGTAGCTGGATGTGTGGGAGAACCCCTGATCTGCCATGGGCCTGCTCCGTATTGCCCGCGACTTGACAGGTCTGGGCTTATGATCTCTCAAATGTACTTGGGTTCAGGGCTTTAGGGTCTAGGGTTTAGGGTTTAGGGTTCTGATGAGTGGAATAAAGCTTTCCAGGGGCGGGGTGTTCCCAAGTGACGTGTAGGATGTGATCTGGAACCATCTTGGACATCCATGTACATTGCTTTAATCCCCTTCCTGTAGAATAAGTGACGAAATATGTGGTACTGCAAACGTCTCAATGACCTTGCAAGGGGTTGGCTCGTAGGGAAATCTCCGTTGCCTCTGTGTTGTCAGGGAGGCCAGGTAAGGCCCCTAGTGTTTGGCAACATAAGCAATGCAAGGCCATGGGGCTTTGAAGCACCTAAGCTCAGCAATGATTGCAACTGCAAGAGGCCACCAGTTCCTGCAGAATTGCTGCTATCACTCCTTTCCAATCCTGCAGAGAAGCCCTGTGCAACCTTCCAAACAGCAACGCAAGCAATCCGAATCAGATTCGGGCATAACTCTCAGATCCTCAAGGGAGATCTTAAATGTCGCATATATCCAAGGGAAAACAGCCCTCAGGGATCCCATCCCATGAATTCAGTGGCTCAACCACGGGAATAATCCATCGGGAAGGTTCCACTCAGATGGTTTGGGAGTAGCCAGCTGGCGAGTAATTGAAACTGTACGCTCTTGTATCCTTGTATAACGCTTTATAGCTCTACAGACTGATCATCTAAATAGTTCCCAGCCCATCTACGTACAGTTCTTGTCAAGTCTTCCCAAGTCCTGGGAAATCGCAGGGCCAGAGGCTGCGCTGACACAGGCATGGCCGGGTAGAAGCATGGATCCGAAAGCCATGAACTCTTTTGATGTGGGCTATTCTTGTGGATATCTGACATTTATTTCGTCGTTCCTAACGTTGGTTGCACACGGAGACTTCTTACGAGGTTTAGGTAAACTTCCTGAGCTACGAGAGTGATGCGTCTTGGGGAATGGTAAAGACGAGCCCACAAGAACTGCCAACAGCTCGAGCTTTCAGTCAAAGCCACAGGCTCTGTTGTTAAGTTGCAGCACCAAGATCATGACCATCGTCATAGGCATTCCCTGTAGCATATCGAATGCATGCTGAGTTTTGTTGCTGCTGCTTATCTTATCTGTTTATCCTCCTACCTTCCATGTATTCTGACGCCGTGGTCCACTACGCCGAATTACTTACCATGAGGTGCAAGGCGAAGGAAATACCTAACTAGTAGCACCAGTATCGGCGCTACGTAATGTAAGCACTGCTGCAATGCATGCCTGCAGGTTTTTAAGACACTGTGATAGCACACGGACACACACATGGCGTGACATCATGTTGGACTGTCGAGCACTTAATCGTCCTGCTATGAAGGCTGCTGGCCGGAAGGCATGCAGGACGTGCTGATGCAGCTGCCTTTTCAGTTTATGGGGGTGAGGATTCAGCATCATGTATGGTTCTTCTTAGAGCCTATAGTTGCAAAGGCCTAGATGTACTTGGTGCATGTGGAGCGTACTTCCGGTTCAAGATTCTGCGCATCTTTGTCAGCCAACTGGTGTGCGAAATAATTATCACTGCCTCCAGTTCCCTGTTCCACAGCTTGAAGCCTCAAGCCTTGAGCACTGTAGTCGCATGTGCATAAAGGAGCATCAGCACAGCTGCTCAGCATTGTGCAGGGTAGAGTATTCCCGACTTGGAGCTTTAGCTGTAGCTGCTCCACCCGTCCAGTTGATCTAGATGCTAGATTTGCTATACGAGCTTTGCCGATGCCCATGGCTGCTATACAACTTATGCATCACATCCTGGCCTGTAAGATCCTTGTCTGTAGCAGTGTAGCACCTGGAGTCAGCTCCATGCCAAGTCCAGCGCTATGGCAGATCCAAGACCATGCAATGGTGAGAAGGATGCCAAGCGAAGATGCCGTAAGGCCAGTATGGGACAGGTCCATGGCGTGGCCAGAAGCCAAGTACATGATTACCTTACCTCAGTGTCTAGAAGAGGAACTTGGGTAGTCCCATGTGAGGCTGTCACAAGCATAAACTCAATGTACCGAGTAGGGGCCCATCTGAGAATGCTGACCTTCACACTTTGTGAAAACACGTGGGATAGCGCGCTGAGTCCCACACGAAGGATACTGATGACGAAATCCACAGTTGCCCTTGGACGATAAGACTACATCTTCACTCAAATCCAGCAGCTCCCAACATCTGCCTGTGCAAGTGCTTTGCTTCGACGGAGAGCGTCAGGAAGAGGATGGCGTCAGGCCATCATTTTTAGAGAGGTTCTTCGCCAAATATGAACCCTGGCAGCAATCCTTTGCAGGCACGGTTTGGCGCAAAGTCGCAAGGTGTGTAGAACCAATATTTTAATCACAGACATAGGCAGGTTTTGACTTGCCGAACTGTTCCATCACCGCCCACTTACCAGTGGGATAGATGGTTGCTTGAAAGCCTTGAAGTGGGATGAAGTGGGCTTGCCTCTGCCGCTCCCGTCACGGGTGCAAGGCTCCAGGGCGCGGGCTCAATTTGACATGACAATTCACCACTTCTAGTACTGACGAGATGCTCCTGCATAATATGCCCCGTACTATCTCTGTCCTCTTGCATCAAGATGATGAGCATTCATTGCGTTGAATCTCAGGAGTTCACGTGCGAGCACATGATCAGTTGCTCAGACTGCCAAGCCTGGACGACGAGGGAAGTGCTGGCTGTGGCGGATCCAGAGTGTTCCTGGGCCCCATTGCATCCGTATCTTTTTCTGCATGAGTAGCACTAACATGGAGATTGATTAGAATGGGTGTGGTTGCGGGTAAAGTGAAAGTAGATGCTGCCTATCACTACGAGATAGCTGAGATGCGCATACGCGAGGTTGAGCTTGCATGATACCTAAAATGATAGTCAGTTCAGGTCTAGGCAAGCACTGCAACTGCGTGGGGGAATGCCTAACTCAGAGCTTTGGACCCTAGCAGTGGAAAGTTCTGAGTGTCTTCCTGCCGCCCAATGCGGCCAGGCCAAGCAATGTGGGATGCTTCCACCCTTGGTTACACAGACGCTGGGCCTTGATTGATCCTCTGCTCTGACAACACTAAATCTGAAGCTTTTATGCGCAGGAATCTTCAAGGCAGCGCCAGCAAATCTGCAGCATGCACTGTCAGTTGTTCCTGTAACGTCTAAGCACAGGCAAGCTCTGAGCGCCGGCCACCTTCATCGTGGTTCTCATGATCAGCAGCTAACTCTTACTACTCTTCAAAGCCGCAACACTGCGTGGTATGTAGCAGTAGGCTAGTACTAGACAAGGACGCAGAACTTGCAGTGATGACATGCTGCCACTGAGCTATGAACAAACCTGAGGAGTCTCTGGGACATCCAAAGCTCCTGGACGAAATCAGGACAGCACTTTGGGCAGGGTACCTTCAGGTTAGCAGCCGTAGGCCGCTTATTGTGGGGACTACAAAGAACTCTACACAATGATGGAATGAGGGGTTGTAGTTGGAAAGCGGCTTTCGTGTTTCGAGCTTTCGGGGTATTGCAGGTCGCGTTCATGCTTCCAAACAAGGCTACCCATTCTGCCCGATGAGCAGCATCGTGAATGGGTCTCCCAACATTATCATAGTGATGCATTGAGCCCCCTCTTGCCTTTGGCCGCTGAGTTTGGGCAGATCCCGTTTTCTCAGCTGGTGAGATTGTCTGACAAGGAGGCAGGAGGCGTTTGAGACTGAAGTTGTCACCGGTGTTGCTCTGAGAGTTCCGTTTGGATGCGAAATCATCGCCAGGAAGCACTACACCTATCGCTTGGGCAACGCACCCTCGCAGATTCCTGTGCAGAGTCTCGCACTGCAAACGCAGGGAGCTTGAAATGGACCCGAAAGTGGGAGGCTTACGCAAGTTGCTGGCAACACGAACACTGGAACACGACGCAATAGGCTGCGGAGTCTACGGCCTGTCTGCATTTCGGTGTAACCCAGATTAGAAGATGCGGACAGCCATTCCTCGGGTCTCAAGTTTGGTTCGTCGTCGGGCCTGAGACAGCTGAGGATCACAACTTGCGTCCCGGTCGAAGGGATTTTCGTTGCCATGACTGCACTTCTCTCTGCTGGCGATAGGATCATCGCAATGATGCCTGCATACCAGGCAGTGGCCAAGAGCTCCCGCTTTGCAGTGCACAGTTTGAACTCGTTGCAGTGGACTCGTCATGCACATCAGCTCTTCACCAGCAGAACCACGCGTGCTGCATGTTTGCCAGGCATTGTATGAGATTGCTCGCAGCAAGCGCTGCTGCATTCTGCCTTGGACTCCCCACTACAGCCAGACGGGATTCTGGGAATTCCGGCTCAGCGACCTGCAATCGATATTAGATGAGAACCTTGGGCACAGAAACTCCAGTGGCTGGTGTTGGGACAAAGCTTAGGAAAGTTGCATGATGCCACTAAAATAATTGAGTAGGAATTGGCAAAACGGTAAACGACACTACAGGCTATTGCTGTTGCTCTCCAGGCAGAAGGCATTTCTGCAGGAGGTCCCCCAAAAGTCTGGAATCCAAGGAACATCACCGCGGATGCCCCGCTGAAGATGCTGATGATCAACTCGCCCCACAACCCCACGGGGGCTGCATTCGACCAAAGTCAGCTGGACGCAGTCTGTGAGCTGGTTACAAAGCTGCCACAAACTGAGCCAGCAGTGATCTTCTCTGATGAGATGTAGCTAGGCACAAATGGCATTTAGTGCAGAGAAGGGTTATATGGGTTATCTACCGGGTACAAATGAGAATATGTGGGATTCCATATAGGTTTAGGGATACGAGCCTGCAACAAATCAATCGCCAGAGACAGTCATACCATTGCTCAGGGGGTTAGATTCCGAAATGAGGCTCAAGGGGTGCATGCCATTCAGACCAGAACTGCTCGGGCGCTTCACTCAAGTTTCCCTTCTTGTAGACCATTTTGGACCTATGGTGGATTTTCGGTTTTTAGCTCATTGGCAATTATTGTCGTGGGTCATAGGACAGGAGCTGCCTGGGGAACATAGGTTGATGGCAATTTTGGGGGGGCATACCTGGACCAAGGTACAGTGAAATCATTGGACCAGAATCACCCAGCATGGTGGGAAAGGCACGCACGGTGGTACTGCCTCTTGGCAAAGGAGTCATGTAGCGAAAAAGACCGAGAAGTTGTCTATAAATGTTGTTGTTCTCAGTCGTACATCTTCGCTCGGCGGCCTTCGCCATCACGACTTCCTCTACCTTTCTCCTGCCGCCAGCTGCTGCTGCAGCTGCCGGTGCTGGTGTCTGCTGCTGCTCGTTTTCTCCTCAACCACTGCCAGCCCAAGCACTGACTCGATGGAAAAACAGACACTGACCGGTCTACTAACATCTGCAAAAACACAGAATTTAGTCAGAAAATTGCAGCCCGTATCCTCTCCCAACCCACAGTCTTAGCAATTGTGTTTGGGTCAAAGATGGACGCGGTAGAATTCTGACTTCCGCCTTACATGACATGTGCAACACTGACTGTGACCAATTTGGTTGTAGGCCATTCCTCAAGGTCCAACATACCAGGCAACTCGACTTCTGAAACAAAGCCAGCTGATATCCGCTTGCCTCGTACATTCTTTCCGGATTGCACCTGAGTGTCTTGCTGATGATTGCTACGCTTGAAGGCATCATTCCCTACCACGCATCAGAAAGTTTTGCAATATATTTCATCATCTAAGATAGGAGCCTGAAGAATCACCAATGTTATGGTTGTAGAGTCCTTCTACCATTACAGCAGATTATAGGGTACCTCAAATGGACCTCAAAAACATATTGGTGATTATGTACTAGGATTACCCCCTAAACCCTAAACCCTAAATCCTAAGCCCCTATCACGCCCGAGTATCAGTTTGCCTTACAAAGGTCTGGGTTATCAAAGCCCTGGGGGATGCCAGGGCTACGCATGGGCTGGCTGATCTGCCCCTTAGCCTTGGCATGCTTCCTCCTGAAACGGGGGGAAGAAGGAAGGGAAGATTCTGAACTCCTTGAAACTTAGGGTAATTTTGGGATAATATAGGATGATTTAGGGATAATGGAAAAGAAAATGGAAACTGTGTAGGGTTTTAGGGTTTAGGGTATAGACCTTGGGACTTAGCTTGGACTCCTAGTATAGGTACCTGAAGAGTTCACCCTTAGTAGGGGTCCTAAGTGCCGCGTAGTGAACAGGCAAGGGCACCCGGCTTTTGGAAAGGGATTGGCCACGTCCTGTCGTTCTACTTTGGATACTGCCCCCACTCAGCAGCAGTTGGATGATTAATTTTCCTATGAATATATAAGGCGCTCAAAATGACCTTGCAGCATTGACGGTTATCGGGTCGGGGCAGTGCCCAAGATTTACTTGTAATTCAGTTGCCTCACATGGCTTGTGCTCTTCAACCGACTTACTGAACTGAAGCCTCTGTATGTCTACATTAGGTGTGGGTGCGGCTGAGCAAAGCACAGATGCACGGTGCCTGAGGTTCCAACAGCGAAGATTTCAAGAGCATGATCTCCCTCCGGGACTCTCCCAGGGTTAAAACCTTTGCTCTCCTCTTCGAGTGGTCTCGATTTCTGGTTGGCTTTTTGGGAGATGGAGAGTTTCAGCGCTGTAGCTGTAGATTGCCAAGTGCGAGTAGAAGAAGCCTTGACAGTGAAGGACTATACCACTTTGTGCCTACCTCCACACTGCGAGATCCTGTCCATCATCACGCTGCGATGTCCAGAGACTTTCCTGGTGCGAAACCGACAGATTGCAGCAAGTAATTATTTGCTCCTACAGAAGGTGACATTGCTGCACCCAGCTCGGGTAGTTTTGTCTTCATCGTCTCAGTTGCTGTGGCATACGAGTTAGGACCTCAGCCTGATGAGGTGCTGGAAAGTTTGCCACATTGGTTCTACCCAATGAACCAGCATCAGCAGAATGATCGCCCTCAGACCTGGAGGGCTGCCGTAGTCTTTGGGAGGCTGAAGTTGCCACTGGGCACCTTGGCATTGGCACAGCAACCTTTCAGATAAAGGGATCTCTTTCTGGGAAGCTAGGTTCCATAGCTGTTTGTTTCAGAGGCCAGTACTTCTCAAGAATGGACAGGCGGCGTTGCCCACGGCGTTCCTGCCCAACTGCAATCCATCTCTGCCCTGGCGGAACACCTTGCGACCCTTAGGCCGACACAGACGTTGCCGTATTGCTTGCAGATAGAATCGCTTAGGAGCTTCCTGGGCTTCCTAGCAACTGATGCAAGGTATGCTTTCTGGACCCCTACTTGTTGGCAACGCATATGTCATCCAACAAGTTCTGACCCCAGGAAGATGCTTTCTGCAGGGGACCCACTCTCAAGTCGGGTAGCCCCTAAGCCCTAAACAGACATATAAACCAGGGGCCAGGCCCTCAGCAATAGTAGCTGTGCCAAAAGACAGGAGCAACCCCAGCACAAAAGTGACATGAAATTGCAAGGGCGAAAGACAGAGATCGTGATGCCAGCATCAGCAGCATCAGCCACTGCAGCAGCTGTAGTCGTACTGACCGACACCTAGCTAGTTCAGAAAGCTCTGACAACTATCAGACAGCTCCTAAAGCAGACGTCCGACGCGCTACACATCTCAGGAAGGAGCACAGCATCTGCATGGCTGTCAGCGACTTCTTTGAGTTCGACAACTTTCCATGCGTGCGCCGCGCACTGAGTGTTCGTAGATGGATGCGTCGTTACGAATGCTGTTCCAATTTCCCCCCACGCTGAAGTCAAAAGCCTCCGAGCCTTCCCAGGATCACTGCAGTTCAACCTCCCTACAAGAGTCCAACGGACATGCCTCTCCACCCTCAGGGGTCGAGGTTAAAGGGGCTTCAGGTATTAAAAGCCAGAGCTCCTGCTTCTCCCACCCACAGTCACAGCGACAAGATGTTTGTTTATTCGGAGATCAGACCCGGCATTCCAATTTTAGATACGCATGGACGTGCCCAAGAACTTCCTAGATAATAGGTGAGGCGGAAAGGACCTTCAGAAAGGAGATCCTAGTGTAAGCTGCAGTAGGATCGTTGCTAGATTTTTGTTGTTCATTCCTTTGCCCAGGCTTTGGTCTGGGCCGCGAGGCCTTCCCGGAAGCTCTGCAAAAACTGCAGCTGGCACTGCAGAAGATTGCCCCGGGCGCGCAATAGAAGTAGAGCTGACCCTTTGGTCAAAAAATGCCTTGACTGAAAAAGGACAAGGTGGGCGGGCACAATTGGAAAAAAACAATCTACAGTCTTCAGACATGCAGTGAATCAAGTTGATGCCACAGCGCGAAAGGCTTGACGTAGGGTAGATGGCCCGTACAATGAGCCACAAATTTCATGGATGTGCCTTGTGCTGGTTTGGGTACACTCATCTTCAGAAACCTCGGTGTCGCACAGTTTCATTCTGGGAGACTTTGTGAAGGAATGGGCGGCCAGGTTTGGAATCCGTCCTGCGTTTGTCTCAGCAGACTGCCCCAGGGCAGTTTCTGCATTGCGTAATTGATCTGAAGCTTCTGCCAGTTCTTCTCAAACTTTGAAGTCCCACATGTGCCACTCTGTGCTGCTAGATTCTGCTAGATAAGACGGTGCTTGTCGTAAAGACCTTCAGCAGCGGGGCAGGCAAAACTCTTCAGAGATTCTTGAAACCCTTACCTTCCCTGCAGCAGATCTAACAACCCAACATAGTGAGAGACTCCGATGTCGCTTAGGCTTCGTAGCTGGGTGGGCGGCTTTTGAGTCAACGGAGAAGCTCGTGCTTTACACTTGGACTTCTTGAACCCAAGTACAACAATTTATTGTTGAAGGGGACTCAGCAACTGGTTACGGCCAACATGTTTTTTTTGGGAGTGGGGAGGTCCTCATGATAAGAATTATATCACATGTCGTATCCAGGAAACCCTACCCTTTGGAAAGTCCCAATGCCTGAGCAGTTGCTGGAGGAGCTCCTGCGCTGCGCCAGCAGCGTCATCCTTCTTTGCTGAGGCATTGGTGAGTCTGTGGATTGGCTATTGCCCCCGCGCTTTCAGGCTCGTATCTAGGGCCCTTATTAAGTATATACCATTCGTAGAAATACAATATCCCGGGGGGGGGGGGGGGGGGG